GGTGAGGTGAGGTGAGGTGAGGTGATGTGAGGCGAGGTGGTGATGGAGGCAGGGTGTTGCACCTGTGACGACACCTAGGAAGACACCTTGGCACCTAGGTGTCACTCAGGGTGGCCACCTCATCCTGGGTGCTGCTGACAAAGTGCCATGCCATGCTTTCCTGTTGTTGATTTTGCAGGAGCGAGCGGTTCTTTCCTCGTGATGCTGGTCATGAGGTTGCAGCTTCCGAAGTGTCGTTCGATGTGCTGGATGGAGGCATGCGCAACCGGAGCACCTACCTCGACATAAAACCCCACTCCCCCCCCACACCTTCTCTGTGGCTTTCCTTCTTCTCTCCAAACATCTGACTTCGTCCAAACCCCAAATCCAACCTGCAATCCTCAGTTCACCGTCAAATAACAATTACCTCTTCTTCGTCACCTGGTACCGTTCTTCTCAGGAAGACAGCAGCGACCATGCAGACCCCAGAAAAAACGCCAAATGCGGCTCCTCAGCCCACCTCAACGTCGACGGTGGCACCCTTCAGCGAGAAGGCCAGGCGACAGCAGATCCTCCACAAATGCCGCCAGATCGTGGCCCTTGGTGCCCCAACGAACGCGACGCCGACTACCTCGAGCGCGATAACTGGCAACAATGCTACTGCTCGGCAAGCCCCGTCTTCAATCGTCGACTTCTACACCATCGACGCTGCCTACAGAGCCGCCAAAGTCGCCGTCGCTTTCCACGACGAAAAGACACGGTGACCGCCGTCCATACGACACCAGACCTTGCATCTCGATCTAGGCAAATTCGTCGATAAGCATAACACCAGGCGAGAGGCACAATATTGAACGAGACTTTTCTTGGGGACCTGGTGACGCAAGGAAAGGTCCTGCAGTCGCTGCCTTGAGCTTGGATACGAAAGAGTCAGCGGATGGATACGTTGAAGAATATTTGGCATCAGCAACATCGGCGGCATCGCCTGCGCAGAAGGGGCTTTCTGCTGGTTGCTCCATCTGGCAAATACTGCGTTGTTCCAAACGGGCAGTGCGTCTGCGACATCCAGAGTGCTCATCAGTGCGAGGCCAATAAAATCCTTGCGTTTTCTTTGGCAATACTTCTCTGTGCACCAACAGGCTATGATGCATATGGCCGGGCACCTGGGGCCGCCTCCGATGGCTTCGTCGGTGCTGGTATCCCGCCCCACCGCTCGTCTACATCTTCCGTTCCTCCCTGCGTGGTGAGCCCGGGGCTCCTCCTTTCGCCTCTTCCGACGTTCTTCGGGTCTGAGGTTCCCAAGTCCACACATGTCCGCTCAAAGGCAGCCATGCGTATCCCTCCAACATTGTCTACAATTTGGCCAGCTACAATTCCATGATCTGTCGTAGCATCATCAGCTCCTGCCAACACTTGTCTTCCGGTCTATTACCCTCAAGGACCTGTCTACGTGTCCTGCAGTCTAAGCCAGCAATCCCACCGTCCTGCTTACTGCTCCCTGGAATTGGTCCAGCAGGGCTGAATCATCAGTCACTTATCCCTAAGAGTCCTGTAACCGGTTCCCCATCATCTCCAGCTTTCGCCATGTCTTTTCAGCGTAGACTCCGAGCCAGCCATTGGATTCACCCGCCGCCTGGATCGTTTCTGCTAAGTCTCGTTGTTGTTTGTCAGTTTTCATCATTTCCGAAGCTATTATCGGCCGATCTGTCAGTACTTGCGCCCGGGCGGGGAGGCAGCGCCCGTTCTGCTGGGAGCGAATGAATCGGCCCCTGTGTTTGTCAGTTGCAACAAGCCAGTGGGGAGGGTCTTGCGCATTTGTTTGCTTCTCGCGAACAGGGGGGGCATGCAGTAGGGTGTGTGAGAGTCTGACGAACCTCGAATGGTGGCTGGTTTGTTCTAAAAGCTGCCACCAAAAACTGCCACGGCAGTGGCAGTTTTCCAAAAGAGGAGGAAAAGTCCGTGCTGATTGGCTACTTTCCAACCCAAAACCCCACATTTCGAATCAATGGCCAATCACAAAGGTACATCCACACAGCACTGTGAACTGGGTGTGTTGGCTGTCGATCTGATGGTGGTTGGCTGCGAAGGGGACAACGTAAGGTAAGGTACCTTGCCGGGTATTCATCAACTCAGCCGGGTTTACCTGCTTGCAAGTTTGTATTAACAAATGTTCCCTCTTGGCCCCAGCAGTGTGGACAGCTGCGGATGTGCCAACAACACCTTGCATCTCGTCCATGTCTGGTTGAAGGGTTGTTGTCCTTCTCAATCCCGCAAAGCAGCCAACCCGATGTCTTTTACTGACCCTTTTAGGTCTTCAATTTCGCTTCCTCTATAATAGCCCTCTGTCAACACGCGTTGCCGGAGGGCGACCTTGGCCAGCAACCAGTTCCCAGCATCATGTTTGCTTGCTCCCTCCAACACCGAAAAGCCCCTTTTCGCCATTGATTCCCCCTTGGGTAGGAGTCCGCAGGCTGAGGCCAAATGCTCCTCTATCATGTGAGGAACTAATAGATCTCTCCGCCGGGTTTCTTTATTTAAACCGACATATCTATCTGGAGACCTCCGGTGCCGTTCTCGTCTATCCTGACTGCGGCAATCGCACTCCGAAGTACTCCTCGGCCGACCAAACGCAATGAAAAACCAGAAAGACGTCTATGCAACCGACTGCCCCGTCTGCGCGATCAAAGCACGGATGGTCAACCCAGACCGTAATCCCACATGCGGCCACAAAGACTACCCTGCCGACCGCCTCATCGACCTCATACTAAAGTATATTCCCCGGGGTCCGCACCCAGTCTGGAACAGGTCAGAAGAAGTTGCTATTTGCAGCGTCATCTCAGCATGGTGCGGCAGATCCGAAAGGCGTAGGTTTATGAACTTGCGGCTCTGCGTTGCATGCTACGAAAAGCACGTTGGCCTTTCCTTCAGCGACGGCTGGCTGCTCAATTCGGCCTTGCCCGATGCGGATGCCCTTGGCTTCGGGGATAAGCGGCTAGGGGGCGTCAACTGATGGAGTGCATCTGCATCTGCGTCATGCATCCTCCCGGTGGTGTCAGTTCAATCAAGTAGGCGAACCTGTGGGCCCTGTCCAGAGGCGCCTCATTGACATCCGAAAGCGCCCTCAGATCCGTTTCTCAAGGTCAACATCAGACTCTGCGTCTACGTTGAATTTCATCTGCTGGTTATGTCGTTCACGAAGACGCCATCCAATGCCTTCGCCGAACAGATCCTACCGCCGAGCCCACCTGTCGGGTAGCGTAGCTTCGTCCACCGAGACTGGGCATATCATCGAGCAATCGCAGCATGTTCTAACTCATAGTCACGTCAGAGAGTGTCGAGCAGCTGCAAAACATGTCTTCGTTGAATGCTTCTTTTTGGAAAGGGTTCTGTCATAAACAAGCTGATAATGTATTTCGAGTGGGCCCGGCCCGTATGGCCCTCAGTGTGGGGGATTGGTCCCCGGCAAAAGACGGCTAATTACTGAAGGCAAGCTTAATTAAATCGGTCTGAACACAAACGCTCGCCGTCTGTCGCTCTCCTGTCTATCGCATGCGGTCAAAACCCCTACTCTGTCCTTCAGCATCTGCACGGTTTAGCTCCGACCTTGACCCGTTCCTGAGCACACTGTCTGATGCCCCTCGAGACTGTTCTGGACCTCCTTCGAAAAGAATCATCTCTGCCGCCAGAAGAACAAATTGGTCTTCACGCCTTGCTCCGATGAGCCGTTCTACGACGTCGTCCTTGCTGTCATAGCTCGTCCGTCATGACTGTGCTACTGCTCGTACTCAAATCAGTGCCTCGTCAACTCGAGAATATGACGCTGCTCAAGACTGGATTCCAAAACGGTGTCTCGATCAAGAGCAAGGCGCCCTGTTGAATGAGTTGCTCAAGGGCCCATGTCCATATTGGCTCATCGTCAGAAACATCCCATAGAGCATGGAAATCGGTAAACCAAAAGATCTCAAAGTGGCTCCGTGGCTTCGACTGAGCCGCCAGCGTTCGCGTTTTAGCACAATCAGCAAAGGGGATAGTTGGACAGCAAGCTTTTAGGGAACAGAGGGCTTGACCGTCTCTGACAGCAGCTTTTTAAAGCGGCCTTTCCTCTCATGTAGCCGATGCACCAGAATCATGTAGCCGATGCACCAGAACACCGGCCTCCAGCCTTCCCTGATGTGGTTCTGACGCGGGTTTCTGCGGAGATTTTGGATCCGGGGAACTTTCCCCCCTTGCTGAGGTATCTGCAGATGGCATCATCAAGGCATCTGGCATTCTTTACAAACCAGACATGTCGGTGCTTACAGCCGGATAAAATCTCTTCCGAAATAACATCCATACACGTCCATCTAGGTCAACTAAAGAGGTTTCTCTATGATGCCTAGTCCATCGTGGCCCTCATAAAATCGCCACCCGGACAACACGGCAGTCAACAAGGTGGGCTTGTAGGCAGCACCCTGATACACAAAAGCATAATTCAAAATTTAGATAAAAGGACGAAGGAAAACAACAGTTTGATGAAGACAGCCAGCAGCCATCTCATTATCTGCTCACTATTGCATCTGCTTCAACTTTTGTCCATGCTGGAGAAGACGAATGTACTGAACTGGATCTCCCAGTTACCGACTCCCTCTACTGCCTTCCCTGAGCCAACGCAGTGTATTCTCAACGAGAGGGAGACTAGAAAGCGGAAGAGAAGCTTAGACTCTCATTCGCCGCAACGCATTCCATCACCGCCGTTCAGCCCGCCGGAAAGGTTCATCAAAGGCATGATGGACAATCAAGAATCCAGTATTCACCCGGCCGTGCCTTACACAGAAAACGACCCACAGGCTTCGGTAGATGGGGATGGAGCTGAACAAGGACTTGAGCCTGAGTCAAACAATGAAGCAGGTCTCCATCATGCAGCCCTCCGGGTTGTTGATGCGGAAATTGGCAGTGTTGTATCTACTAGCCAAGTCACCGAGCACACGACACCGACTTCGAAAAAGCGAAAGCGGCAATCTGGGTCACGCGTCAACGCAAACATCATGGCGATAGAGGACACTTTACAATACCAAAGCTTCGACGGCGAGCAGGCGCCACCCCCATCGTTGAACAGGCTCCGCAAACACATTCAGGTTCTAGGCCGAGGTATTGGAATTGTATCGCATGCTGAGAAGCTATCCTTAAAAAACGAGGCTGTGACCAACAACCGATTTTCTTGGGTTGATGAAGCAACCTTCGCTCCCAAACCCGACGCCACACCGACAACACCATCACTTCCCCCACATCGCGATGCCTTAGGGCCAACGCCATCTATTGACTCTGTGCGGGAGATCTGGGCTGCCGCATTTGATGCGGAACTGGTCGGTCATGAGGAGTCTCATTGGAATTTAACGGTCCAGGGACCGATCCTCCTAAGCGCCCTGAAGCATTTGACGAATCTTGGTGTATCGTGCTGGTAGGCCAGCCCCTATTCATAACCTTCCAGTGCCATAAGAAACGCTAACAAGAAAACAGCACTTCGGCGGGAATCCATAGTGCTTACACGAGAAAGGACAATTCCGCCCAATACAATCGAAAGATCGACATTTGTGTGCATGTAAATGAGAAATCGCCACAGCTAGACAGAGTCATTCTAGCGTCGAGAACCGGGTCAATCAACCATACAAGTTATGCTGGTCTGCTTCGTAGGCCAATTGGATTCTCTATTGAGACAAAAATCACAGGTCATGACTGGTCAACCGCGGTTTATCAGATCGCATCATGGTTGTTAGCCCAGTGGGACGCCCTCGATGACCTCGTAGAGCTATCGGTTGGCCAGCGCATACCTCCAGGTAGTTCTCCAGCAGCGGCATCCGGACTGGAGTTTTTACCAGGTGTTATTGTACAAGGACATGAATGGTGGTTTGTCGCAGTGAGCAGGACATCGAGTAATAAGAATGTGTTTTGGACGAAAGTTTACATTGGATCAACCACGTCAACTCAAGGCGTCTATGGAATCACGGCCGTCATACAACTCTTAGGCCACTGGATTCAAAGTGAGTACTGGCCTTGGTTTAAGTCCGCCATTCTCAATCAAGCTTAGTTGGTCAAATTACATTCATAGGAGTAGACATCGAGGAGTGAGAATACAAATTATACGATTGCGTGGCCGAGGCATGACCGGAATCTACAGTGATGCACATGTCTCAGACCAATTTCTGTCCAGGCAGAATACATGCGTGTAGTTCGAAACCTTATGTGCCAACCACGCGACTTGAGCAGTCTGTCATCCCTGAAAACGTTGGAAGATGAGACTGAGACGTTGCAGGGCTTTGGGGGGGGAACAATTTAGTCATTAAGTCGAAGATGAAGTTGTCGGCGGTCTCATACAGCATCTGCATGATGCAGATGGCGACAGGGTATGTCATCCAGGACTTTATTAATCGTATGAGAGCTGAAAAGGTGATCCTTTGCGTCTGGTGGAAGAAGAGCATGGGGAGGGACTCTCAAAAAGTTCCAGGCAGAGAATGTGACAGACAGTCGTATTTGATTCCAACGGGTAGTGGACAATGATCTTGGCCCTTGTTCTTGAGCATGACCGTGGCCGGCAAGCATTATGATCAAAGGTCTAATGTCCGGTTCCATTCGGGCTCGGATCGATTGGCTCGGGTGCTGTTCACAAAGCAGCATCCGTGTGGTAAGCAGGAAGATGCCGACAAGCGGAAGTGTTGGCATTCAACTCAGCTTCGATCATGTCAGAGTCTCCCGCATCAGGGGAAAAGCGTGGCAGGCTGCTTTCGACGCATGCGATCGCAGGTCTGCTGTGCGGCAGACACCCCGACCACCGCCGTTTTCATCTTCTGTATTTTGACGACACGCCCAACAGTATCGGGTATCATGCGACTGCCGAACCGGGTATGGTAAGCGCCTGTAGCAACAAAGGGCCCAGGAGTCTCCGCATATGGGCATGGGGTGTAGGACTGGATTGCAGACTTGCAGTTGGATTTGGGTCGGCTTGTTGGGGATGGAGTCGGATTGTGGGCTCTTCAAGCTATGGTTAAGGTCTGTCGTCAAGATTGACGCGTGATTGGTGGCGAAAACTGCGCATGAACAAGGAAGGCGAGGCAGTACTCGGGCAAGTTTACAACGGACAACCTAGGGGGCCTAGGAGGTTGGCATGTCAAGAATGCGCGCAGTTGAAGGTGAAGTATTGCGGCTATGAGTCAATTTATTTTGGGCACGCTGAATGCTGAATCGAGCGGTTTGAGTAGCTCCAAAACCTCTCTGTTCAGGGCTTTGTCCAAAGAGGTTCTGTGGCTTCATCTCGTCCTGGAAATAGCCAGGCAGGCGATCGCTCATCGTCAGGGGACTGCGTTGGCCGCCTCCTAGTACTGCAGTTGACCATTATTGACCCCGCCGCGTAGATCTGCGGCCGTCATTTTTGTTTGAAAAGCTAGACTGCTAACTTCATCCAGACCGACGAAATCAATCAGAGTCGGCCCTCTTGACATTTATCGACACTCGACGCGTGTACGTCACGGGACGGAGGTTTCGGCTCCTGACCTGCCCATCGTTTCTTTCCAGTTCAAACGAGTCTGGGGTAAATATTGCTCCCTAAAAAGGAGAAAGAAACATGCAGGGGATGAATTCAAATACCGATCCCCAAACATCGCCCTCTTTTCACGAGTCATCTCCGTCGGTTGTGAAGATCAGTTTTGTCGTCATTTCTATCCAAGATCGAAATATTCAATTAGGACATACAAGTTGTCGGGGTCGGACGTCCTGTTTGAGCAATTGTTTTTGGAGCCTTATTCTGTTAGCTCAGGCGCCACAGGTAGCTGTCTAGCCAGCGTTAAAAGCAATATTCTCGATAATGTAGATAAGACCTGTCCTCGGGCTGTTTGGTATATGTAAGCGCCGCATATATAATCACCTCTTAAATCAATTGAATGATGTACCAGGATAAGTCTATAGCTGAAGGGATGTACTCGCTACCTTGACCCCATCAAGTTGTTCATAGACGGCAGCTATGGTCCAAAAGGCTCAAGGACAGTGAGCCGTGTAGCTTCGTAGGCAGCCGTCGGGGATTGTCATCGAAGGAGGATTTTGCAGCGGGTCTTGTCTGCGGACTTCCTGGAGATAGAGACCAAGGCAAGTCCTCAGAGATACGGGCGGCTTTGATTGCTGATTAAAGCGCAACTGTAGCTTCTTTGCTCCTGATCCTCATTGCCCGCCACTCTCGTGATCCTAGCGGTATTCATGCTTCTGCGGCAATCAGCCAACCGAAATGAAGTCGAATAATGAAGAGCGAAGATAGTTCAGATGTTGTGAGCAGAGCAGATCCCGAGTATAACCCGAGGTGGATCGTGGATATATTGGTGTCATTTCAGCGACTTCGTCGGAGTTGAGGCGCGCAGACAGACATTGAGGTTATTCGACATGTCCTTCGCACATCGACTTTCGGTGTATTACCGATTTCGTGTAGCTACTTTCAACGGTAGAAGTAATGATAGTCCAATGACTTCGTTCCCCAAGGTAATTGCATCAGCATGACCAACTTTTCCTTGAGGACCCAGCACAGAATCTGCGGTGCCAATATCTTGACATCAGATTAGACGGCAAATAAGCATCGGAGGGAATCCACTGACCCAGGACCTCTCGGGGTCTAGCGCCTGCAGTGTCAGTTGGAGTTTTCGAGGCCCCTCTTCAGTCAATCGTTAAGGTTAGAGAATCCCATGAAGAAGTCTATGAGCGGTAGTGGGATGCAAATTGAGCAACTGGCATACGTTTGGAATTTCGTTGTTCCGCAATGCGCCTCCCGCGATTGGAGTCGAAGCTTCTGAACCCAAAGCCGTGCTTCGGATGTTGACATTTTTGGAGAGCTAGCGCTCTTCCACCTGCTAGCTACATTGAATGCCCATGTCGGATGAACTGTTGCACAAGCTTATCACCTGCTGGTCTGTCGATGAGAAGGATTCCGCAAATCGGCATCTGCGTTCAATTCGGCATGAATGGTACACTCAACTACTCCAGAGCTGCCATTGCTCATCATTTAGAACTAACTCACCATGACCGGAAAAAAGGGTGGTTTGCACGAACGGGTTCCTGGTGTGAATGGATTGGGAGAAGCTTATTGGTGAAAGTGGGCTGCTGATTGTAGGCCGAGTGTAACTCTAGGGCAACTCCCTCCGCGTTAGCCTGTGACTCTGCTTTGATCGCTTCCTGTAGCACTTGCAGCCGAGTCGAATTGGCGGAGAAGCTTGTACTTGGTTGATCGAGCTTGTCCTTGGAGAGATCGTGGCCTCTCTCGTGGAAATTGGTTGAATGTTGCCAGGCGTGCGAGACGGGAGTGTACCCTCATGAAAAAACATCATGAGTCATAATCAAGCCGACACGGAGCTTTTCAAAGATTTGATATTGTGGATGATACACTAGAACAGCTAGCTTGCCTCCTCTCACTTCTAAGCCACCACTTTGCAGTTAGAGGGGCGCCTGCATTCTCCGTCTTTTCCCATTTAACCAAATCCGAGTTGGGAGCAATTTTGAAAGCCTTCCATCAGATTCACGGCACACTTGGTCGATTGAATCCGTCAGACACTGGTTCTATTTGGGGGTATATGAAGAGAGCGCGAATCGCCAGGGGGCAGGCATCTCCCTCTTCACGCTGCCACAACGTTCTCTGTGAGCCATCCTGGCCCTCGATTATTCCCCGTGAGAGTCATACGGCAGTCAACAAGGTGCGCCTCCAGGCGGCAAACTGCGGAAGAAAAGTTAGAAGGGAAGAAAGACACTGGTTCTATTTGTTTCAACCAGAGTCAAACAGGCGACGATCCGTCAATATGAGAGCTACATGTTCGCCCAGCAGGAGCAAATTGTCTACCTGTCCACTGCTGTAAGGTAAGACACACGTCTTGTAGGACAGAGAACTGGTGCGATGTGACACTTACTTGCCGTTGTTCTGGTGGTAACAATGTATGCCACAGTTGCTACGATTGCGTAGGAGACGGGTATCATTGCCCAACTACGATTCGCTGTGGTCTGTCACTGCATTGGTTCGACCCCGACACGGACGTATACTGAGTATCAGTGGGTGCCTCGTGCCGTGAGTAGTTCGTGTCATCACGCTAATACTTGCTGCGAGCAAAACCTCTGCAGGTCTGGCGGATATTGAGGCGACGACATATATTTGAGGCAACCTCTGGCACTATCACCAGGACATACTCAACCACCACTATCTAGTCTAGTCACGTCGTCACTATCACTGAGGCGCACAACCCGAAGATGAGTAGGAAGCACCTGAATTCAACTGTATCCTGACGTCCCTGGTGGACGCTGGAAGAGAAACGTTGGAGGCTGACAACGAGCCATCACACGCGTTGACAACGACATTTGATCAATCACAGGACGGGCCAAAAGAAGGCGGGATCTTTCCCCCTCTTCTCCCTGAATATATTGAAGATCCGAACAAGGACGTACTTTGTGAAAGCGACGTTCATGCTCACGGTTCCTGTCTACCGGTTTACGTGTATCCCCATGTTGGTGACGAACGCGAACGGATTTGATCTCAACCTCTCCCACCTGGGTTGTCAACTCTGACAATCATCAGTGAACACCAACATGACTTCTTACTCTGGTCTAGGAACGACATATGGAGAAAGGTGGTGTGTTAGGCGACAAGGCTGAATGTAACCCTTCGGACAACATTCAGCGCGAACGGTGTACTAATGCCGTCCCATTGTTAGAGGATGCTGGTACCGCAACAGTGTTGTGGCCTCGAAGTTTGCGAACTTCCTACATTCTTTTGTTGTATATCTGGCCGACAGGATCTCGAACTGTAAACGCCAACACCACTTGGGTAGGAGCAAAAACCATCTATGTCGTTAGGCTGCCTATTACACTCATGTTCCGAGAGTCTGGCCGTTGTAGGGCGCGCTAAAGTGGCTTGCAGCCGAATGAAACACCAATCCAAAGTATCCAATGCCCACCGGGACCAGATTGCTACATAACTGCACAGTTGAGCTGGTTTAAGATGTAGGCTGCGCCATCCAGTTTTCCGTCTTTTCACAGGCGTTGCGACTCGCAAGTGAATGGACGATAATTTCG